AGAACTCGGTGTGGAACCAAGAAACAAACACCAGAGCAATATAGTATCATTAACAGTTGTCTTCCAAAATAACTAAGCTTAAAAACTAATACAAATGTCGACCAAGCTATTACAGTGACAGCACACAATTGAGTGGGATTACAAATTCAAAGACAAGATTAAGACAAAGGCAGTGATCACAGCAATAAAGACAGATATGGTAATATTCACCTCACTGCAACAATGACCAAGTTTCCGAAATAGACTGAGTATCCATGGTAAGAATGATCTCCACTTGTACCCTGACATATAATGTGAGATGCTAGTTAATTCCCCTATATACCAGAGAAAAAGACTCCAGCAGATTTTCAAAGTCCTTACGTCAGAATGTAGTGAAAATGTCCATAGACGTGTAGTACCTGTAGTACCTTCCAGAAAACGGCAATAATCTACACTGGTGTGTTTCTCCGACAGAATCAAGGTGCGAGCTCACAACATTGTCTGGTCTGTGGATCAGTTCGTCCCACAGTGGGTTAAAGCCCTTCGTGGTCAGGCACTGAAGGACACAGTCAAACACCATATACAAGACATTGTTGGACGAACCAAGAACCTGTAAGTTCTAAAATATCAGTGATATACCTTTTCCATTTCAGAAGACATCTCAGATTGAGACCATCACAAGGTTGTGTCTATAGATCAGTATCTATAACATCAGATGTCCACATAAAGAAAAAAAGTTGAAGCAATTCTTCTTGTTAGATAAAACAATTTTTTAATTTTGCCCATTCGAACAGAAATTCTGCCTCATTCATAAAAGAACATGTTAGCAAGGAGGGGGGCACAGTATGTGTCCATGTGGAAGCTGGTTCTTGTCTTATAAATTACATCTATACAGATCTATAAGATATTCCAGTATTTGACATTCTTGGTAAACATCAAGTGACATTTGCCTTCAACTGTCCATCGAATATATAGGTACAACTGTATATGTGGCTATCTCGCATACTGACAAATGTCCCATGAATCAAGGAATCACTTTTTTCATGTAGGGTAGTGGTGTAATCAAGTGATCAAGTTGAAATCAAACAAACTTGAATGTGTTGTTTTTTTCTGAAATTGAAAAAATTCAACAAAGCTTTTAGGAATCCAGAATGTACTTATGTCACTTGTCTCAAATACCTTCTGTCGATATGAAAGTTCTTCCCTGGATTAGGTTTCCGAATCTTTGAATCATTCATTTGGTGGTATATTTGGTGTATTTCTTTGATCATTTATAAATTAGGAAATCACTTCTTAAATATTTTGACGTTAACTCTATGAATGATGTACCCTCACAGCGTGGAACACTGGGACGTCAACAACGAGAACCTCCACGGCTTCTGGTACCAGAACACTCTCAACGACAGAGACTACGATCTAGAAATATTCCGTATCGCTCATCAAGCTGGTCCCAATGTTAAAATGTTCCTCAATGAGTACAGTGTTGTGGCATCGGGCGGGATGACTGGGGTAAGACTTGAGGCAGTCTGATGACTCCTTCGTGTAAACTTTGCACATGACATTTATATATTTGATACTTTAAGTTGGTTATGAACGTTTGTGTCAATAGAGTATTTGGGCGGAAAATATTTGTTCTTGTGTTTCACCGTTGCAGACAGTAAACTTTCTAGAGTCTTTGGACGGCATTTTGAAGTGATACACATGAAGGCGAGAATGTAATCAACTTCTTTATTTGAGGTACACAACATTTCGGAGTATATTCTTACTCCTTCATCAGGTGAAATGACGTGTAAACTTCTTGTACAGATATGAAACAAACAAAACTTGTGCAATCCTTTGACTTGTTCTCGTCACTATATAGCTGGAATAATGCGGATGTGACGTAAAGCTCAACTCAACTCAACTCAACTCTTCGTTTTCTTTCTTTTGCTTTTCCAAATATATGCATATAAATTCAAGTTGGTCACCCTTGAAAGAAACAAAGTATGACCAAATGAATAAAAAAGGCCGTAGGTTAACTTTGTTACTTTGTGTCATTACTATGTTCAGTATACACAACATAATTCCTTATTCTTGTAAATCCTTTTCATACATGCCTTTCTGTGGTTGATGATATTAATTATTATAGTTTTTGTTTTGTGCTGTCTCGCTTCGAGCTTGCTTGACAACGGTATAAGGAAATATACCGAAACGTTGCACCAAAACTGAATGAAGAAGTTGTCGTCCAAACTATATCTTGCCTTACTGTTACCTGCCAACTTCTAAAATGCCAATCAAACAGATCAGTGTAATGTTTCTTTTCTTGCTTGAATTCTTTATTGTATTATAAGCTTGCAATCTGTTTCAATTTTCTATTCAGGCATACCGTGAACAGGCCATCAGGTTCAAGAACGCAAACGTCGGCCTCTATGGAGTCGGTGTCCAGTGTCACTTTGGAGACAATGTTGAACCCGACCCAACGCTGATCAAGGTAACTCCCAAGAAAATATTATTATTGTTACAGAATCATATTGCCCCATCTATTAGCGTTTAGTACTTCTGGCGATGAATATATTTTGTCCATTTCCATAAGAAACAAATTAAAAATAATCTTACTAAGTAAAATGATCGTATGTAGGTGATGCTGACACCACTGTTGATGGTAATGATTTCTGAAATGTGTATTTGATTTAGACGCCATAACTATGATGATGATTATTATATATGACCGTGTTCATAATGCTTTATGTTGATACTACCAGGAACATCTAGATACCATTGCACAAGCTGGCGTTCCTATCTGGGTCACTGAACTCGATGTCATATGTGTTGATGAACACAAACGAGCAGACTGGTACGAGACAGCTCTGAGGGCGTTCTATGGCCACCCAGCTGTTGAAGGGGTTATGTTTTGGGGATTTTGGAGCGAGAGAGACTGGAGAGGAGATCCAGCTACAATGGTGTCTGGAAATGAGTTCAGGGTAGGCATTACAAACAGCGAATGTATAAATATATTAATTCACTCATTAGAATCTCAATAATGTTCTATTGTTAGTTTGCAATCAATATTTTGGAAATTAAATGTGGTATTAGAAAGCACAAGGACGCTTAATTTGACTTTTATCTATTTGATACTGCGGACTTTAAAGAACATGATATCGGAAAAAACTTATCTTCATATTTTACGAAGTTTTAGCTGTTTGGGAATATTTTTTTTTACTTATGCCTGTGTAAATTAGTATAGTAATATTTCAAGGTGAGTGTGTATCTTATATTTGCACTGTCGTTGATATGAACTATTTGCATCTCAAATGTAAGTAATTGTGTATTTACGTCATATAAATGCACTTCTTTTACACGTTGTAGATAAACGCAGCTGGTCAACGTTACATTGACCTCACAGAGAAACAATGGATGACCAACGAAAACCACAAGCTCTCCCAATCTGGCAAGAACTTTAAAGTCCGTGGTTTCCATGGCGACTACACGATTAAAGTCAAGGTCAACGGGAAGGAAGTTCCCTCCCTCGCGCAGTCATTTACCTTGGGTAAATCGTCTCATTCTGTAACCCTCCGCGTCCATCATTAGTACGACCACTGTCAATAAAGTGAGTCAGACACTTGTTCTGTTTTCTGTTTGTCACTGCAGGATAACGTAATTCATTTAACGCATTTTTGCCTTTTAAATTTGCTGGATATATTATCAGACGTCAGGCCTATTGTGTGTTTTCTTTTGTGATGATGAGTAAGTCACTGCATGTAGGATAACTTGATTTATCTGAAGTCTTTGCTGGATATAGCATCAGCTTATATTCGTAACAGCAGTGAATGTCTATCATTGTCACTCCGAATTGGTACTTCCAGATCTCGTCAATGTAAAGCAGCAATAGCGGTTCATTTCAAACTGTTGCAGTGTAAATGTCATTCAGCTGAATGACGTCTTAACTAGTGGTTTATCTGTTCAAGGACCAGTTGTTGAGAAGTGTGAAGCCCCTCTTTTGGGGATAATAAAACCGGGCAAAGATGTTTGATTTAGGTTACATTTCCAAATTTCCCAACACATCAGTTACAAAAACAATTTTCGGTGCAGGTCTGGCTCTGATTGTTTTCATAGCTTCCCGAGTCTTTCCAGGAAAACTGTTAACATTAGAACAGGATACTCTCCTCCACGATACTCTCGTCTGCTCGCGCACGTCTGCAGGAGTGACATCGGAGGACATACTCATGACATAGTACAAATGGTACAATTGGTTACCTTTCAGACGCAATACACGTTGATACACGCTTACGAACTTTGATGCAAACAATAACAGACACAAATACTTACCTACCCTCACTCACTAACACACGCGCACACACACGCACACACACACACACACACATACATTCATATATTTATTCATTTATTTGTGGGACGCACGCATGCACGTATGTCATTAGGTTCAATAACCCGGTAAAAGATATTTTCTTCACAGAGGAGAAATTGACTAGACGAAGCATATGTTTATGACGGGTGCCACCGGTGGGACAGGATACGCTCACCTTTACGCGATCACCTGGCATCATCACTATTTCATAGTGATTCATAGACACATGCTCTGTCATCGTATCGCATGGTGACAATTACTTGATTGTCTGGTCTAGACTCGTTTTGTTAAGAAACAATGCTGTACAGCTGTAATACTGCTGAAACAAATAAATTCTCATAATATAGTCACAATGGTACAGTCGACCCTGTTTATAGCAGAGATGTCTTATGGATGTCGAAAGGGTTTGATAAAAGTATTTCACACGTAAATCCAACAACTGAGCAAGTTATCTGAACAGGGATGGGTCTATGTTTAAAATACTTTCTCTTATTAAATATCCGCGTGATCCACCGTCACAAGGCTGCAGGAACTTTAAGAATGTACTTTTCCAAGTGCATTTATAGTGACTTTCACACTGAACGGTATGCAGTTGTCATTCCAGAAGATAAGATTTACAATGGAATCTCTAAAACGACCACCTGTTATTCAGTGCCGTGGCTGTTTTCTACCAGATATGTCGTGTCTGGTGCTGCTGTGTCTGCTGCCCCTTGCTTTGGGGCAGAATATCGTCCAGAATGGAAACAATGGATCATTGGAACTGTTGGAATATACATTGTGAGCTGACCACAAGGCCACGGGCAGGTAATTGAGAAAACGCTATGCAGTACAAAGTTCCATTATTACAATGGTGTTTCCTATATATATACTCAGCAGCAAAAAAACAACGTCAGTACGAATTCAAAATTAGATAGGCACTGTAATCAAATCATTACAGAAATTGACATATTAAGCGGATCAAACAATTTTTTGTGTACAATGTCTTGACACATCAATGAATATCAGAATTTCAGGACATTACGTGAACGTTTGCAGTCCATTCAGACTCTTGACTTCAGTATCTAGTGTGACCACCACGAGCGGCAATAACTGCAGCACAGCGTCTATGCATGGAATGCACCAATCTCCACTGGGTGTATCGCCAGTTTTGGTGTTGTAAGGCAAGCTGTAGACGTTCACGTCGATGACAAGGGGTGAGGATAGGTCCACGGTAGGGTCTACGGCAATAGAGGTTCCCGTTGTTAAGACGTCGGCGTGCCGCATGAAGGGATTATGTACATGTTGTCGCACAACATGGCGGTCTTGTCGTCTTGTGGTCACCCTTGCTCTGCCAGTACGGGGGCGATCATTTGTGGTGTTGGTGGCCCGGAAACGTTGCTGCAGCCTGTAGATGGTCCGAACGTTGACCCGGAAGTGATTGGCAACGGCTTGTGCAGTGTGGCCAGCTTCAAGTCTTCCTAGCGCCTGGTTCCTCTGAGCTGTCGTGATTGGCGCCATCCTGCTGACGTTGTAATGTCATTGTTTCAACCAGGTTTGAGGGTGCATTTTATAGGGCTGGTCCTTGTGAACAGCACGTGCAGCATGAGTTGCATGAAAAACATGGAGAACACCTTACCATCTCCGAGATCAGGTTGCGTTTTTTGGAGACCATTTCCTGGCTTCCAATCTGAGTTTGGGAAGGAATGTCTTTGCTCAGGTAAAGTTGGAGATGTTGTCAAAAACATACAATCAAAACCTTAAATGAGTTTACAGTTATCCGTTTCTGCGAAGGAAAATTCAAAACTGACGTTTCTTTTGCTACTTAGTATATTTATATACACGTGGATAAGAAATTGATACTGCTTTTCAAAACGGTCCTCTATAACCAATATTCAATACCTTTCCGAGCAACAAAACAATATTTTTCTATAGTAAAATTATCTTTGGAAAGACATCACAGTCATCGGGACAATTTGTCCATACCATAAAGCATTTCTTAAACCATCTGTATATTTCAGAAACCACTATTACCAAGGGCCCGCACAGACTCTCAATGGCCTCACGCCTAACGGACGGTATAAGGTCGAGGGATGGGTAAAACTGCTCAACGATAAGGCCGGACAACTGGGACAAAATATACAGTTGGAAATGTATTTTGACCTTGACAGTAGGTTCTGTAGCCTCTTCTAAGTCAAAAACAAGAAGTGTGGATTTTATTAGCCCTTTGATAACAATATGAAAATGACTGTCCGTCCCGAAATCTGATTTGCCATACGTCTTCAACCATCGAACAAAGTACAACATAGTTTTTGGAAGTGATAAAATGTGCAATATTGTGTCCGTAATATACTTTTATACACCCGTCTAGCAATCTGAATGGTCATACTTCCCCATCCTTAGTACAAAGTACAATATATTTGTTTTTGAAAGGGGTGTACTGATGTTTCAGCACCATTACATTTTGGTGCATCTTTGTGTTGTAGCTGGGAAGAAGGCATACATCCCTGTTGGCGGCCACCCTCTCGCCAGTTCCTCCGACGGCTGGATTCATCTCACTGGAGACTTCAATGCTCCTTCTGGGGGTAATGTGGTATTTGATTGAACCAAAGCAGTCTATTGACATTCAGTGACATCCAACATAACCTCAACTGTAAATATTCCCAGACGGTCCTTGTCCTGATCTACGCGATATTATTTTATAGTACCAAAACAACCCAAAAGTGTGGAAACACGTCACAGGCCACCACACAAAGTCAAATATAAGATAAACTTAACAATATGTGAAAGGTTGTAAATCCAAAGGTTGATGGTTTCCAGTGAGCGTTCGCTGTATTGGATGAAAACTATTTCTTCCAGATATTGTTCAGTAGTGGCCCCAGTGGCCAGATGACTGCCTGTCCATTTACAGACACTCGGATATAAGGAAAAATGTTATGATGAAATCTATTGTAATTGAGTGGTATGTAATAGAAACGTGAATTTGACTCTTGAACATTGTTAAGGACGTTCATCATAAACTGAACTTATAGCTATGATCAAACCATAGTGCTATCTTACGGATTATATCAGTTTAACATCTAGCCTTAGTTGACATTTACATAAAACAGTAGGGGTGTTAAAACATCATGGCAACATATTTTATATTCATAAATGTTTTTGAGCTGGTCATTTATAGTTTAGATGTAGTCCACAGGACTAATTACAAGTTATTTATGTGGTACTTATAATTAATGGAAAAACCTTTTAGGTAGGTACCTTTTTGTTTTATATCCAGGAAAATGTTATTCATGTCCATATATGTATGAATTTCAAATGCTTCATGACTGATGAGCCTCATTTAATTAAAATAAAACCTGTTGTTGAAGTATATTCAATGACAATGACAATAAATGTCGGTATGGCGGCGACATGGCCTAAAGTACATTTAGAGTACAGAGATATTCTGCACAGTTATAGTACTGTTGAAATGCTATAATTCATACTGGCAGATTCTTTTCAGATAAATACTTAAGAATAGTATATGCTCTTCATTATTGATGATAACAATTGATAAAGTATCTAAAGCATATAAATCAGGTAAATTCAACCTTTCCAGATCAGATTCGTCTTCACTAATATAATCCTCCCCATTCTCCGTCCAAGCATTAAAGTCACCTGTCAAATTTCAGGAGCTGGTGTAAAATCTGACGTTATGTTAAAGATCTTTGTATCTAACTCTTCAATACCATTATCATGCGGCGTATCATATACAAAGGCGAGTGTTTCGGCAAAATATAAACAAAACAAGAAATATTACAGGAGTGCTGACTCCGTCAAAACTAAGTTTGAGAAATACACAATTATATTAATGAGAGTAAATCCTTCTGAAAAACAGAGAATAACACATCCTTATGTAAATAGCCAAGCCTCCCGAGTAACGTCCAGAATTTTTTACAAGCTTAGCTGGAGCTGCAAAACAAATAGAATCATTAAGCAGCAAAACCTATTGCCTTTATGCTAAATACAGGATTGATTTATTGACATAGAAGTTATTGTTAGATATTAACCATTTCTTGGTGATTAAAGTCGCTTTAAAAATAATTTCATTCTCTCTATAACCTATTTGGTTCTATGATCGTGCAATGATGGTTACGTATATGAACCTGAGACACAAAATACGTTTTCCATTGCTTTGTAATTCGATTGTTCCTTTTTAAAAAATAGGTATAAAATCATCCACTGTGTACTACCAAGGCCCGTCACCTGGTGTAAACTTTGTGGTCGACTCCGTGTCTGTGACACCCCTGGTAGCCAACACCCACTGGCGTGCAGAATCTGATGCCACCATAGAGAGGATAAGGAAAAGTGACATCAACTTTCAGTAGGTTATGTCAGTCTGTTCTTGGAGCTAGAGCAACAGAGTACTCAAATGGATTTTAGTTTCTTTGTCTGGGTAACATTTTTTTCTTCAGACGTTTTTCGATCAAGTTCACAATATTCAAGTAAAGCTTTCAAAATGTTTTAGGGTAGACATGGGGATTTGATGCATCGGTGACAATATTTCTGTCCAATGCAAATCCATAGAGAGACGGAGGAAAAGTGACATCAACTTTCAGGAGGTTATGTCAGTCTGTCCTCAGAGCTCTCAAATGGTCTTTGGTTTCTTTGTCCAAGTAACAATTGTTTTCTTCAGGCGTTTTTCGATCAAGTTTACAATATTCAAGTAAAGCTTTTAAAAATTTGCTAGTCGACAACATTTATGTCCAATGCAATTCCCTATTTTGACTTGTACAATACGTTCCCGCACTTTTTCATTTGAGCTGTTGACTCGTCTTTGTAGATGTTTGGGGCGGTGGGCTAGCCTAATGGTTAAAGCGTTGGCTCGTCACGCCGAAGACCCGGGTTCGAATCCCCACATAGGTACAATGTGTGAAGCCCATTTCTGGTGTCCCCCGCCGTGAAGTTGCTGGAATATTGCTAAAAGCGGCGTAAAACCAAATTCAGTCAGTCAGTCAGTTGTAGATGTTTATGACGGGTGCCACCGGTGGACCAGGATACACACAATGTTTCGCGAACACCTGGTATCATCACTACTTGATAGTTATTCATAAACATATGCTTTGTCATCGTATCTTATGGCGTCAATCACTAAATTGTCTGGTACAGACTCGAATATTATAAGACCGCCGTCACATGACTGGAATATTGCATTGTGGCATCAAACAAACAAACAAACCAGCAAACACACGAATGAACGAACAAACAAACAAAAAATTTGGCTCTCGTGTTGCCTTCTTGAAGAGAAAAGATAAAGGGTCCAGGTGTCATTTCTTTAACCTTGACATAAATCACAAGCAGGTCATCTTGTCACCTAGAGATAAGAAAAACGACAAAACTCGTTCCACATTCGTAAGAGATACAATTCTGACTATATCGTCCTACAAAGATTGAAATAAATGCTCAAGCCATTGCCATCCTCGAAATATCACGTGTAAAAATGAGTAGTTCAGTTTTGATGTTTGATCTTTTAATTACCTTAACGATTTTTTATGTCACATTGCATCAAGATACTGTTTTGTCAGAATAAACATTTCTTATAGTGTCTCTCGTTTGGATTATTTTTCACTGGGATTGTGCAAATTGAATCATGATTTCAGGGAATTTATGCACGACATATATAACGATATTCTAAACTATCCTAAGTATCGATGGTAATAAGCCATATATACTGAGTCAAAAAAGAAACTTCACAAAATGTAATTTGAAAAATAATGAATAATGTTTCTCTGATGATACATCTATGTATCCGAAATGGGATCCCTATCTTTTGACTCTAGAAAAACGTTAGCAAAACCCACTCAAACCCATCCATTCGTCGTGCAAATGACGTTAGTGCCAAATCAGGTTTTGCACGTGCAGTCGATCACGTGATCTTCGCATCGAAGTTTTCTTCATATGCACGTGTTTGCATTGGCCTCAGTTATTGACGTCGCAAGAGCAATGGGATGCAGCCGTCGTACTGTGTATGACTTGCGAGGTCGTCTACAACAAACTGGCACCACTTCTGATCGCCCAAGGTCTGGTCGTCCACGTGTGACGTCACAAGCAGAAGACCGCCAAATCGTCCTACGTCACCTACGTGACAGATTTCTGCCGGCTACACGAACCAGGGCTGAGATGTTTAGAGGTCGACTGTCCTCACAGACCATTCGAAATCGGTTGAGGGCTGCCAATCTCCATTCTTGACGTCCATATCGTGGGCCAATATTGACGCCGTTTCATCAACGTCAACGTCTGCTGTGGGCCCAACGTCACCTCTGATGGACCCAGAAGGACTGGAATCGAGTCGTCTTTAGCGATGAATCCAGGTTTACCCTCAGATTCGCGGACGGCAGGCATAGAGTCTGGAGACGACGTCGTGAACGGTATGCCCAATGTTGTGTACAGGAAGTCGACAGATTCGGGGGCGGAAGTTGCATGGTGTGGGGTGCTTTCTGTGGGAACAACCGTTCCCAAATTCTGGTCATCCGTGGAAACCTCACAGCTGCTGCTTACCACGACCAGGTGCTCACCCCTGAACTCGTTCCTTTCATGGCGGCTCATGGCCCAGGTCTACAGTTCCAGCATGATAATGCTCGGCCGCATACCGCGATGTTGACACGAAATTTCCTTCAAAACGCTGGAATCAACGTCATGGACTGGCCATCGAGGTCCCCTGACCTTAATCCAATATTGCACGTTTGGGATGCACTTGGGAGAAGGCTTCGTGGTCTTAGGAACCAACCTCAGAATTTGCAGGAACTTGGCGCTGCCTTGCAAGAGCAATGGCGCAGAATCCCCAACCACGTGTTCACAAGCATCAGGCAGTCGATGAGGAGACGGTGTTTGGCAGTGGTGAATGCGCGGAGCGGCCACGATATTGAACTGAGAAATTTCGCATTTTTATTCTTGTGACTTGACATTCTGTATACCCATGTTTTGGAACAGCGGTGTAGCCTAATGGAACTGATTATGGCACTGTCAGTGTATCGAGTACATCACACAGATCTCAGCAATGGAATAATAACAATTTAACCATCTTACCATCTCTTGTTCTTTTATAGTGCCCTGAAGAAAGAATGTGAAGTTTCTTCTTTGACTCAGTATATTTATACTTCGCTTTGACACATCTATAACTGGCACCAATCACGTTTGTTCACTTCTGGTGGCATTTCCGACAATCAAGTTGAAATTGACGTGAGTGTTATCTTTAAAACTAATTAATCAATAGTATTAAACAAACCGTTGAACCCACACCCATGCCATCGTATTTTCGTTTCAGGTAATTCAAACCAACAAATCGTTTGCATTCGGAACCGCTGTAAAGTGTTGCGATTATCTCAATGGCGACCAGAGATACATACCGTTCATCAACAAGCACTTCAACGGGGCAGTCACAGAGAATGCTCTCAAATGGACTTCGTTGGAACCTCAGAAGGTAGAACCTTGTGGTGAATCTGCCGACGATCTCTGTTTGCAGTAGCTACATGACACTGACCCACAGATAAGGAACCTTTGGCAACTTGGTCTTTAATCGTTGGTCGTGGATCGGAATATCATACCCGCATAAATTGATACCCCGGCCCTAGTCTGTAAGCACCATGTCTGTCTGTATGTTTCAAATGGCAATGGGAAACCAAATCATTAAACAGAAACGTCAGCGAATAACCGGTCTCGATTTTCCACCCGATTCCGTTAGGAGAAAAGGCAAAACAGCAGTAAATATTTTATAAATCGATCACTAAAAATCAATTATGACCCCCCAGGTATTTGTATAAAGCATTTTGGATTCGATTCTCCTAATTGGTACAATATCTGAATGTCACTTGTAACGTTACGGTTTAGAAAATACTGTGATAAAGGCTTGTCAGTCCCCTTTAAACCAGCAAACCGACGAGTATATAATATTCAATAACATATTGAATAAACATGGTTACAATTAATGACAGTACAGATTTCTAATACAATACTATTGAGTCTGTTGGTTCTAAAATATTAACTAAATGTCTATAGTTACCAGACTCTTGTAGATGTATTGATTGAAGTTTGTTGTCAGCTGTTGAAAGTTCAATGTAGACGAGGCCTTTTTGAGGTGTCGGTCTTGAAACGTTGATGTTAGCATACAGATGAGCGTAAATCTAAAGTCGTCCCTCTCATACATCTCAAAAACCATCGCTTATATACCTATTATACAGTTCTGGATTTTTCTAATAAAAGCCATGCCACACCGCAATCTTCTCACAGCTTCCACAACCCCACCGGAACAAAACAAACAAAGGGAGGCAACTCCTCAACCCAATCTTAACAGGTGAAATTACATAGCCTAAGATGCGAGTTCAAATCCACATTCAGCTTCTCAAACTTTTGTGACCCATAACAACCAAAAGTAACTTAATGTGACACTACAATTAAGAAAAACACATTCTCATAACACAGTATACAAGTGCAGTTCAACCATGTAGCACTTTTCACTCTGATCCTGTTGGTACTCATCTCTTTCGGACTTTGTTAAATGGCATGGTCAATTGTTTTAAAAAACGAGTCCTATTTGTCTGTCGTGCACTCCGTTCGGCAAAGCGACCTCAGGGCTACAACTGCCGAAAAGCTGCATCAAAGTATGCTAGCCACGATCATCTCGGCGCTCAGATCGCTTTGTGGAACGGGGTCAGGATGCAATTTCCTTGCTATTGCTTTATTAAAGATGGAATGTTGCAAACAGCTCTTGTTTTAACAGGGTAACAGCAACTACGACGTGCCAATCAACACCATCAAGAAATTGAGATCTAATGGGTCGGTTTACAAACTGATATTTGTTACTTGTTGATTTCCCATGTTGAAAGTCCATAAAAGAACTTGGTGTGCAACCAGCCAATAAACAACAAAACAATATAGTATAATTAGCAGTTGTATTCCAAAATTAATAAGTTTAAAAACCAATACAAATTTCTACCAAGGTATTACAGTGGCAGTACAAATCTGAGTGGGAGTCCAAATACAAAGGCAGTGATTATAGCTATAAAGACTGAGTTGGTAACTCACCAAGGTAATAATGATCTCCACACAATTGCTGGTCTTGTTGTAACTTGAGATGTAATCTGGGATGCGAGTTAGAACCACTATATACATGAGAAAAATACTTTAGAAGATTTTCCAACTCCCTTCATTAGAATATATATAGTGGAAATGTCAATTGAGTTGTAGTACCCTATAGTTACTTTCAGAAAACGGCAATAATCTACACTGGTGTGTTTTTCCGACAGAATTAAGGTGCGAGGTCACAACATTGTCTGGTCTGGGGTTCCGTTTATTCAACCGTGAGTTCACGCCCTTCGTGGTCAGGCACTGAAGGGCACAGTAAAACACCATATACTAGACATTGTTGAACGAACCAAGAACCTGTAAGTTCTAAAACATCAATTGTATGCAACTTTCTCCCAATCAAAGGAAATCTCTGCTCATAAGGTTGCCCATATAAAGAGAAATTTGAAATGATTTCTCTTGTCAGATGTAAGTTTCCTTCAACAATTCAAGCGGAAATTCTGCCTCGTTCAAAAAGAAACATTTTAGCAAGGAGGAGACCACATTATGTGTCCATGTGGAAGTCTGGTTCATGTGTAAATGTCTGTAAGATATTCCAGTATTTGACATTCTCAATAAACTAAAGGTGAAATTCAGTTTTGACAAACTGTCCCGCGCCTCAAATATATAGGTACAACTGTATATGTGGTTATCTCGCTTACTGACAAATGTCCCCTGAATGAAGGAGTCAAGGTTGTCGTGAGGGGTAGTGGCACAATCAAGTGATCAAGTTGAAATCAGTTTCGTTTCTGACAAAAATTCAACTAAGCCTCCAGGACTAGAATCCACGATATATTTATGTTTCCTACCTCAAACACCTTCTGTACATATGAAAGTTCTTCCCTGATTGTATTCAGGATTAGATTTCGAAATCTGTGAATCATTCATTTGGTGGTATATTTGGTGTATTTCTTTGATCAATTCTTAGTTAAGAATTGAAGTCACTTCTTAAATATTCTGATGTTAACTCTATGAATGATGTACCTTCACAGCGTGGAACATTGGGACGTCAACAACGAGAACCTCCACGGCTTCTGGTACCAGAACACTCTCAACGACAGAGACTACAACCTAGACATATTCCGTAACGCTCATCAAGCTGGTCCCAATGTTAAAATGTTCCCCAGTGACTACAGTGTTGTATTGACTGAGGTAAGGCTTGAAAGGTCTGATTGCTCCTCCTTGTGTCCTTGTACATATCATTAATATATCTTGTTACTTTAAGTTGGTTATTAACGTGTGTGTTAAAAGAGTATTTGGGCGGAAAATATTTGTTCTTGTGTTTCACCGTTGCAGACAGTAAAACTTCTAAAGGCTTTGAACAGCATTTAGAAGTGATACACATAAAGACGAGAATGTATGGAAATGAACTTCTTTATTTGGGGAACACGACGTTTCAGAGTATATTCTTGCTCCTTCATCAGGCGAAATAACATGTAAACTTCTTGTACAAATTTCAAAACAATCTTGTGTAATCCTTTCTTCGTTTTCTTTCTTTTGCTGTTTCCAAATATATGCATATAAATTGAATACATTGAAAGGACCAAAGTATGACTAAATGGATGAAAAAGGCCGTAGGTAAACTTTGTTACTTTGTGTCGTTACAATATTCAGTATACAGAACATAATCCCTTATTGTTGTAAATTCCTTTCATATGTGCCCATCTTTTGTTGATGTTATTAATCATTATAATTTAATGTGTATTTCATTTAGACGCTATACCTATGATGATGATTATTGTATATGGCCGTGTTCATAATGCTTTATGCTGGTACTACCAGGAACATCGAGATACCATTGCACAAGCTGGCTTTCCTATCTGGGTCACGGAACTCGATGTCATAAATGCTGATGAACACAAACGAGCAGACTGGTACGAGATTAGCTCTCAGGGCGTTCTGTGGTCACCCGGCTGTTTAAGGAGTTATGTTTGGGGATTCTGGAGCGAGAGAGACTAGAGAGGAGATCCAGCTACACTGGTGTCTGGAAATGAGGCATTACAAACAGTCAATGCAAAAATATATTAATTCGTTCTCTAGCATGTCAATGATGTTCTATAGTTGTAAGTTTCAATCAATATTTTGGAAATTCAATGTGGTAGCGGAAAGCGTAAGGAAGCTTAATATGAGTTTAATCTATTGACATTTTGGACTTTAAAATACTTAAAGGTCGGAATTGTGAAGTAGCAGAGATTTGGAAAGGGTGTTGTCGCTTCTGTTATGACTGTGTAAATTAACGTTTTGGGGAATCTTTCAAGCTGAGTGTGTATCTTAAATTTACACTAACTTTAATATGCATTATTGCCATTGCAAATGTAGGTAATTGTGTATTTTCATCATATAAATACAGCCTTTTTAGACGGTGTAGATAAACGCAGCCGGTCAACGTTACATTGACCTCACAAAGAAACAATGGATGGCCAACGAAAACCACATACTCTCGCAATCTTGCAAGAACTTTAAAGACCGCGGTTTCCATGGTGAGTACACGATTAAGGTCAAGGTCAACTTGAAGGAAGTTCCCTCCCTCGCACAGTAAATCGGCTCACACTGTAACACTCTGCGTCCATCATTTGTACGATCACTGTCAATAAAGTGAGTAAGACACTTGTGGTGTTGTCTCTTAAGGTTTTCCACTGCTGGATACCTTAATTCATTAAACGTCTGCGTAATCATTTGCTGGATAAATTGTCAGACTTTATTCATTACAGCAGTGAATGTCTGTCATTGTCACTCAAATGTAAGTAATATGTCAGTATAGTTTCAGATCTCATCACGTTAATGGCACAATGTAAAGCAGCAATAGCGGTTCATTTTAAACTGCTGCAGTGTATATTTCATTCAGCTGAATACCGCTGTAACTAATGATTTATCTTTCAAGGACAAAATGTAACCGAACCAGACGTTAATGCCAATACCAATGGCCGAACTGTGTCTTTGTGTTTTTGTCTTTGGTCATGAGGTTCCTAATGAAATTCTCCCAAAAGGAAAAAACGAGGAACAAGCGAGCATACTCTATCTAGGAAGATGCTCACAACGAAATCAGAATCATAAAATGGCATCTGTTTTATGGGACATTTCTTATCTATTGATTATGGACAAGGTTTGTCGCCTTGATGATGATTTTACCTAGCTGTTTCCACAATGTTTAGCGTTGTTGTCATCAGTAAACATCTCGATACCATTGTGCAAGCTGGAGTTCCGGGATGTCAGAACCTGGTGTGAACCAGACAAACGAGGAGACAGGTCTGTAGACGCTCAGCAACCACCCAAGTACTGAACGAATCATGTTGTGGGGATTCTGCACTGGAGAGGGGAGCAGACAGCTTCTTTGTCTCCTTCTTTGTAAGAAAAACTGACTGATCTTCTGCCTGTCTGCATTCTCTTCTATGTCATAATTCTTCTCTGTTTCACATCATCAATCATGTTCTCTCTACTCTCTCATAATCCTTCAGCATTCTTGCATTTTGTAGTCTCATATGAATATATTCACCCACTCTCTTCTACTCAATACTTAATCGAAAGCCTAATTTGGTAATATATAGCAACATTTTTACTAAAACAAATTAATTAAGCATTTTCTTCTGAGTAGTTTCAGGAAATCAGTTAACATGCCTTCATAAGAACAGGATATGCTCCTCCAGGATACACTCTGTAGGAGCGCACGTCTGTAGGAGTGACATCAGGGGACATACTCATGATAGAGTAGAACTGGTACAGTGAGTTACCTTTCAGATGCAAACACTCACAGATACATTAATACACGCTTACAAACATAGATGCAAACAATAACAGACATTTACACCTACCTAGAGAGAGACACAGAGAGAGAGAGAGAGAGAGACACAGAGAGAGAGAGAGAGAGAGAGAGAGAGAGAGAGAGAGAGAGACGCATGCCGGATAACTGCAATAACCCGGTAAAAGATAATTATTCACAGAGAAGGAATTGACTAGACGTAACATATAATTTGTGCTACGGCTGGGGCAGGATACGCTCACCTTTTAGGGATTCATAAACATATGCTCTGTCATCGTAACGCATGGTGACGGTCACTGGATTATCTGATCCAAACTCGATTTGTTTACAAACAACATCGCATAGCTGTAATACTGCTGAAACAAATATATTCTCATGATATAGTCACAGTTGTAGAATCAGAGATTTCTTATGGATGTGGAAAGGGTTTTGTCGCTTCTATTAATAATTAAGTCGTCTAAACAATCAGTAGAATAGGGATGGGTCTATGTTTAAAAATACTTGCTCTCATTAGATGTCCGCGTGCTCAACCGTCACAAGGCTGCAGGTACTTTAAGAAAGGCTGCACGTTTCCATATGTATCTATAGTGACTTTCAAACTGTGCAGTTGACATTCCAGAAGATAAGATTTGCAGTGAAATCTTTCAAACGACCACCTGTTATTCAGTGCTGTGGCTGTGTTCTACCAGATATGTCGTGTCTGGTGCTGCTGTGTCTGCTGCCCCTTGCTTTGGGGCAGAATATCGTCCAGAATGGAGACATGGAAACAATGGATCATTGGAACTGTTGGAATTTTCATTGTGAGCTGACCACTGATCATCATAGTGGACAGCATGGAATCAAGGTCACGGGCAGGTAAATCGTTATTAAATCACAACGGCCACCTTCCCACTGAGGAAAGACAATGCAGTACAAAGTTCCATTATTACATAGGCGTTTCCTATATATTTAAATACACGGAGATAAGAGATTGATAGTGCTTTACAAAACATTCCTGTATAACCCATATTCAATACGTTCCTGAGCAACAATTATGTAGTAAAATTATCTGCGGAAAGACATCACTCACCGGGACAATTTGTTTATTTCATAATATTTTAAGATATAAACAACGCTACTTTGCAGTCTATTTTGGCATTTAGGATTAATGCGGTTTGACCATACAATAAAGCATTTCTTTAACCATCTGTATATTTCAGAACCCACTATTACGAAGGGCCCGCACAGTCCCTCAATGGCCTTACGCCTAACGGACGATATAAAGTCGATGGATGGGTAAAACTGCTGAACGACCAGGCCGGACAACTAGGACAAAAGATACAGTTGGAAGTGTCTGTTGAACTTAACAGTAGGTTCTGTAGCTCACGTCTAAGTAAAGAACAAGAAGTGTTCATAAAAATTGACATACTTCTTCATCCATCGTTCAAAGTGCAACATAGTTTTTGGAAGTGATAAAATGTACAATAGATGTGTGTATTATATTTACACCAGTATATATATACACCAGTCTTGCAATCTGAATGGTCATACTTCTTCATTCTAACTACGGAGCTCAATGTATTTGGTTTTGAAGAGATGTAATCGTGTTTCAGCACAATTAACGTGTTGGTGCATTTTCGTGTTGTAGCTGGGAATAAGGCATACATCCCTGTTGCCGTCAGTCCCCTCGCGAGATCCTCCGACGGCTGGATTCACCTCACTGGGGACTTCAACGCTCCTTCTGGGGGTAATGTGGTATTTCATTGAACCAAAGCAGTCCAGAAACATTCAATGACATCCAACATCACCTGAACTTTAAATATTCCCAGACAGCCCTTGTTCTGATCTACACGATATTATTTTATAGTACCAAAACAACCAGAAACGGTGAAAAAACGTCACAGGCCACCACACAAGGCACATAAAAGATTACTTTAATAGAATGTGACAGGTTGTAAATGCTAGCGGCAGTGGCTGCTCAAACAGTTGACGGTTCTCAGTGAGCGTTCGTTGTATGGAATGAGAACTATTTCTTCCAAATATTCTTCAAAAGTGACCCTGTGGCTCCAGATGACTGCCTCACAATTTACAGACACTCGAATATAAAGAAATATGTTATGATGAAGTCGATGTAATTGGGTGGTAATAGAAACTGGAAATTGACCCTTAAACATTCACAAGGATACTCCATATAAAAAGAACATATAGCTAAGGCTATTGTAACTGAGTGGTATGTTGTAGAAACTTGAAATTAACTTTAGAATGATCAGTATAAAATGGACTTATAGCTATGAGCTAGCTATAATGCTATCGTACGGTTTATATCAATTTAATATCTTGCCTTCGTTTACATACACATAAAACTTCAGTAAAATTTATGAAAGCTGGTGGCAACATATTGCTTATTCATCAATGTTTCACTCATGTATAGGTTAGAAATAGTCCAGTTATTAATGTGGTACTTATAATATGGGAAGAACCTTCAGAGGTAGGTTCCTTTTTGGGGTATTTTGTCCTGGAAAATGTTACTTATGTCCATGTATGTATGGCTTTAAAATAATAATGATGATTGATGAGCCTCAATCAGTACAAACCTGTTGTTCAAGTATATTCATAATATGTTAACAAATATAGAAAGCTTTCAGCTTGGTGTTAGTTACCAATACCTATTGCCTTTATGCTAAATACAGAATAGATTTATTGACATAGCATTTGTTGCTAGATATGGACCATATATCCTGGTAATTGAAGTCACTTTAAAATGAAATTCATTCTATCTATAACCTTTTATGTTCTATGATCAGGTAATGATGTGAACATGTGACTTGAAATGCGTTTTCCATTGCTTTGTAATTCGATTGTTCCTTGTTCTAAATTTAGTTATAAAATCGTCCACTGTGTACTACCAAGGCCCGTCAGGTGGTATAAACTTTATTGCCGACTCCGTGTCTGTGACACCCCTGGTAGCCAACACCCACTGGCGTGCAGAATCCGATGCCACTATAGAGAGGATGAGGAAAAGTGACATCAACTTTCAGTAGGTTATGTCAGTCTGTTATTGGAGCTATAGAAGAGTCCTCAAATGGTTTTTAGTTTCTTTGTCTTTCTCTTTTCATCACAAGTATTTCGATCAAGGTCACAATATTGAAGTAAAGCTTTTAAAAAGTTTATGGTAGACATGTCAAGGATATTTAAAAATTTAATGCATCAGTGACAAAAGTTATGTCCGATGCAATTCCCTATTTTGATTTGAACACCTGGTATCATCACTTTTTGATAGTTATTCATAAACAGATGTTTTGTCATTATATCTGATGGTGTCAATCACTGAATTTTCAGGTACAGACTCGAATATTAAAGACTGCCGTCACATAGTGTGGCAGTGTGGCATTAAACAAACAAGCAAACTATCAAACAAACGAATGAACGAGCAAACAAACATAGAAATTTGGCCCTCATGTTGCCTTCTTGAAGAGAAAAGATAGAGACATATATCACAAAGAGGACATCTTGTCACCTAGAGATAAGAGAAAAGTGAGAGATTGTACAGTTCTGACTATATCATATTAAGAATGTGTTGTGAGCATTGATCTACTCAGCAAGCCTCTTACACCAAACTGAAGATCAATTTAACCCACATCTCTAAGGGTGCCAAGTGGTGAAAAACTTAGAGATATTGAGGCGATGAACCGTGACTTGAAGTTTGCTAAGATTAAACCTGTTATGATATGTTTGGCTATATCTTTTCAACTGTTTAAAAAAACGTATAAAAATATAACTAAACTGAAACGGATCAATCAGTCAGAAACTAACAACCAACCAAGTAAAACACGACACGATATAATAACGATATTTTTTAACTATGCTGAGTATCGATGGTAATAAGCCATATATTTATACTTCGCTTCGACACACCTATAACTGACACAAATCACGTTTGTTCATCATATTTTTCAGCGTCACCACTTCTGGAGGCATTTCCGACAATCAAGTTGAAATTGACGTGAGTGTTATCTTTAAAACTAATTAATCAATAGTATTAAACAAACCGTTGAACCCACACCCATGTCATCTTATTTTCGTCCCAGGTGATTCAAACCAACAAATCGTTTGCATTCGGAACCGCTATAAAGGTTGGCGATTATCTCAGTGGCGACCAGAGATACATATCCTTCATCAACAAGCACTTCAACTGGGCAGTCACAGAGAATGCTCTCAAATGGAAATGGGAGGAACCTCAGAAGGTAGTACCTGTGATCGGACGAGTCTGCCGACCCTCTCCGTGCAGAGGTTACATTAAAGTGACATACAGATTAGGAATCTATGGCAACTGGGATTTTAATCGTTGGTTGTACATCTGATTATCATACTCGCATAAGGCAAATGATGAAGCCGAATCGTTAAACATAAAACTTCAGCGAATAACCGGTGCCGATGGGGCAATAAAGCAGTAAATATTTTATAAATGGATTACTAAAACTCAAATATGACCCCTAGGGATTTGTAAAAAGCATTTGGGACTCGATTCTTCACATTGGTACAATATCTGAATGTCAGTTTACAAGTGTAGTCCAACCGTATAGCATTTTTCACTCCAGCACTGCTGGTACTCATCTCTTTTGGACTTTCTTAAATGATATGGTAAATCCTTTTAGAAACGTGTTTTATTTGTCTGTCGTGCACCCCATTCGACAAAGCGACCTCAATGCTGCAATTGTCAAAAAACTGTATCAACGTATCGGAACCAAGATCCTCTCAGTGCTCAGATCGTTTTTTGGAACGGAGATAAGAATCAAATTTCTTTACTATGGCGGTATTGAAGAATGAATGCTTCGAACAGCTCTTGTTCTTAACAGGGTAACATCAACATCGACGGGGCAATCAACGCCATCAAGAAGCTGAGATCTAACGGGTGAGAACGAGTTTACAAAAAACTGATATTTGTTGCTGTTGATTTCCATGTTGAAAGTCCATAAAAGAACATGATATGAAACCAAGAAACAAACAACAAAGCAATATAGTATAATTAACAGTTGTATTCCAACTTTAATAATTTTAAAAACCAGTACAAATGTCTACCAAGCTATTACAATGGCAGTACAAAACTGAGTGGGAGTACAAAGGCAGTGATTACAGCAATAAAGACAGGCATGGTAACATTCACCTAACTGCAACAATGACCAAGTTTCCGAAATAGACTGAGTATATAGGGTAATAATGATCTCCACACAATTGCTGGTCTTGTTGTAACTTGAGATGTAATCTGGGATGCGACAGAATCAAGGTGCGAGGTCACAACATTGTCTGGTCTGGGACTCCGTTTATTCAACCGTGGGTTCAAGCCCTTCGTGGTCAGGCACTGAAGGACACAGTAAAAAACCATATACAAGACATTGTTGGACGAACCAAGGACCTGTAAGTTCTAAAATATCAATAATATACAATTTGTGCCTGTCAAAATTTATCTTGTCGTTTGATGTAACTTTCTTTCAATTTTGCCCATTCGAGCAGATATATTGCCACGTTTAGATTCCAGTATCTGACATTCTCGGTGAACTTCAGGTGACAAACTGTTGCCTCCAGTTTTGACAAAACACCCCGCCTAAAATATATAGGTACAACTGTGTATGTGGTTATGTCGCTTACTGAGAAATGTCCCCATGAATCAACCAGTTGTGTTGGATATTGGCGTCATCAAGTCAAAAAGTTGTAATCAAACCAACTGAATCCGTTTCTTGTCTGAGAATACACAAACTCAACAAAGCCTTTAGGTATTTTAAGAATCCATAACGTATTTGTGCCACTTGTCTCAAATACCTTCTGTCGATATGGAAGTTCTTCCCTGATTGTATTCAGGACTAGGTTTCCGAATCTTTGAATCATTCATTTGGTGGTATATTTGGTGTGTTTCTTTGATGAATTCTTAATTAAGAAGTCACTTCTTAAATATTTTGATGTTAACTTTGAAATGATGTACCCTCACAGCGTGGAACACTGGGACGTCAACAACGAGAACCTCCACTTATTCTGGTACCAGAACACTCTCAACGACAGAGACTACAACCTAGAAATATTCCGTATCGCTCATCAAGCTGGTCCCAATGTTAAAATGTTCCTCAATGACTACGGTGTTGTGGCATCAGGCGGGCTGACTGGAGTAAGCTAGTGTCGTTGCACATATCACTTACATGTCTTGTTATTTAAGATGGTTATTTACGTGTGTGTTAACAGAGTATTTGGGCGAAAATATTTGTTCTTGTGTTTCACCGTTGCAGACAGTAAAACTTCTAGAGTCTTTGAACAGCATTTAGAAGTGATACACATATAGAAGTCATACACATAAAGAAGTCATACACATAAAGAAGTCATACACATATAGAAGTCATACACATAAAGAAGTCATACACATATAGAAGTCATACACATAAAGAAGTCATACACATAAAAAAGTCATACACATAAAGAAGTCATACACATGAAGGCGAGAATGTATGGATGTCATCTTTTTTATTTGAGGAACATGACGTTTAGGGGTATATTCTTACTCCTTCATCAGGTGAAATGACATGTACACTTCTTGTAAAAATTTCAAAAGGACATTGTGTAATCCTTTCTTGAATTTGGTCACCCTTGATAGAACCAAAGTATAACTAAATGAATGAAAAAGGTCGTAGGGAAAATTGCTGCTTTGCGTCGTTACTATGTTCAGTATATACCATAAAACATAATCCCTTATTGCTGTAAATCCCTTGATACACGCCCTTCTTTTGTTGTTGTTGTTGTTGTTGTTGTTGTTACTTATAATAGTTTTTGTTTTGTGCTGTCTTACTTCGAGCTTGCTTGACAACGGTATAACGTTGCACCAAAACTGAATGAAGAAGTTGTCATCCATATCTTGTCTCTACTGTTACCTACCAACTTCTAAAATGACAATCAAACAGATCAGTGTAATGTTTCTTTTTCTTCTTTCAATTTTTTATTGCATTGTAGGCTTAAAATATGTTTCAATTTTCTGTCCAGGCATACCGTGAACAGGCCATCAGATTCAAGAACGCGCACGTCGGTCTTTATGGAGTCGGTGTCCAGTGTCACTTTGGAAACAATGTTGAACCCGACCCAACGCTCATCAAGGTAAGTCAAGCTCAACAACATCTTTGTTCAACCTATGAATTATATAATAGTATTTCAAATAACGGCCTCATTCTAATAAGACAAATGATTGTATAAACTCTTATAAGTTAAGTAAAATGTTCGTATGTAAGTAATGTTGATACCAATGTGAATGCCAGCATGATGACAATGATGATGCTTTTACTTCACCGTTTCCTCAAGTGTTTATGTTGGTACTACCAGGAACATCTAGATACCATAGCACAAGCTGGCGTTCCTATCTGGGTCACTGAACTCGATGTCACAAATGCTGATGAACACAAACGAGCAGACTGGTACGAGACAGCTCTGAGGTCGTTCTATGGCCACCCAGCTGTTGAAGGAATCATGTTCTGGGGATTCTGGAGTAACAAACACTTCCGAGGGGAACCAGCCGCACTGGTATCCGGAGATTCGTTTAGGGTAGGCACAACAAACTTTATAAAATATAATACTTCACGTAGTTTAATGTTAAACCATTTATATTGTTATATACTCAGCAACAAAAGTTCTTGTGACATACATGTTTGGATAAATTTGATCAAGTTTAACCCAAACCATAATTAAAACGCGTAACAGAGCGTACAAACACATTTTTAATTAACTGTTTGAAAACCAAGGTGAAACATATTTTAAAACGTGTAAGTCTGTGGGTATGTAAACATGAGCTGATGATAGATTTATTCAGTGTGGATAAACACACGTTCACTCTGAAAAACTTTGAGCTTCGAACCACAGAAGCTGACCACCAGTAACGCCTCAACGACAAGACAACTGAGTGTGATTAGAGTGTGAAATGTGTCTTAATTATGACAACATTCACATGGCCAGAAGTCTGTTCTACCATTAACAAATTTGTCTTGAATTTGGTGTCTTATGGTTATGATTAACTTTGAATGGCGTCACAAGAACTTTGTTGTTGTCTATATTTCTGTGCATCTTAAATTAAATAAAAGTGTATTTGTTACTCTTTTGAATTTGGTTTTATATTTTAGATGTAATATTCTAGACATTCAAAATTATCACGTTTTGAATGGCGTCTGTCAGAATTATTTGTTGTTGAATGTATATAGTATATCCGATAGTTCCACTGACTCATATTGTTATTTCATCTTAAATAGACATCTAATTTATTTCACATAGATGCATCTCTTTCACATGTTGCAGATAAACGCCGCCGGTCAACGTTTCCTTGACCTCACAGAGAAACAATGGATGACAAACGAAAACCATAAGCTCTCGCAATCTGGCAAGAACTTTAAAGTCCGCGGTTTCCATGGCGACTACACCATTAAAGTCAAGGTCAACGGGAAGGAAGTTCCCTCCCTCGCGCAGACATTTACCTTGGGTAAATCGGCTCACACTGTAAATCTCAACGTCCACCAATAGTAGAATCAATAAAATGAGTAAGACACTTGTAGTGTTGTCTGTTAAGGTTCTTCCACTGCTGGACAACATAATTCTTTATTCATTACGGTAGTGAATGTCTGTCATTGTCACTCCGAAGTGATATTTCCAGATAGTTTCAGATCTCATCATGTTAACTGCACGATGCAAAGCAGCAATATAAGTTCATTGTAAACTGTTGCAGCTGAATAGCGTCTTAACTAACGGTTTGTCTTTCAAGGATCAGTTGTAACCGTCCCATACATTAATGCCAATGTCTTTGGTTTTTCTTAATTAGATTATTAATGAAGTCTCCCAACAGAAAAACGAGGAATAGCGAGTCTACGAAGGTGCCCATGATGAAGTTGGATTTATGCAATATAATCTGTTTGAGGAGATATTTCCTATGTCTGGATATTTAGAAATAGCAACAAACAAAGTGTCCGACAGTAGTCCGTCCTATACACACACCAAGAAACTGCAAATTTAATTCAATGGTTGTACCATTTCACATGCTTATAGAAAGATTTTATTTACTGATAATCGCTAAGCACGACACAATTTCAAACAAGTTTTGCGTTTATTTTGGTCAAGTTATTTTATCTGTATTTTTGTACGTCACGATCTTAAGCAGATAACCTCTTTCATCACACTGAAAGACAAGATTGGTGCAAAGATAACAACTTAAATATCGGTGGTATAAAGCACTCTCGTTGCGTTTTATATCAAAAGAATGTACAGCGTTTTATGTGAAATACATAAAATCTTAAATGTGAACGCTATATTCTGTGGCAGAGATAATAATATATTCTTCTTGCTTTCAAGAGAATAGTTAACCATTGAGTTCTAAAATTAGTTTGTCTTATTTAATTAAACGTGATAAAACAATTTTCATAGCTACAGAAATATCGAGTGTGCCAATCCGACTGTAAAACAAAAGCCTGGGAACATAAGGTAAAATATGGCTGGATCGGATATTCCCTGTAATTTACAAAGAAAAAATATTTGGGTGCTTTTTTAACCTTGCTCCCGGCATGAAGTCTTTATACCACAATCTAGATTATGCGATGAAACCGTTTGTATTGGGAATTAAAGGCACACACGCACTGAAAACTATATCAATGGATCACTAAAATTAGATTAGAAATCTGGAAGTAACTAAAACATCCAGAACGGTTTCTACAAAAGAGTTTGCAAATATTTGTTTGACCAACAAAAGATCACATCATCTGCTATTCTGAATAATTACATGATATGTGGACTATCTTTGTTCATGCATGCACGATAAGCGTCATTGAGTGTTACAATCAAGCAGTGCCTTCTTCAAATGAGTATACATGCCTATTTAGTTTAAGCAAGTGACAAAACAACATTTCCGAGCAACATACCCAACCAACGTTTATCAGTACCCTTACAAAAGAAGGAAACTGCTTGCCTTGTGTGGAGACTCCATTATCTTTCTTCTCAAGCCTTCTGGCTGCTTGAACTTTGCTTGTGTTGCAGATTCTGATGGTAGCACTGTTTTCTGTAAATAATTATTTGATAATTTCACGATAATGGCTATTTCCACAATGTTTAGCCTCGTCGCCATCAGTAACCATTGTGCAACCTGGCGTTCCTGGGTGACAGAACTTTACATGACTAACGATGACCCAGACAAACGAGCAGACTATTACAGGGCAGCCTTGATGATCGTCTACGGCCACCCATGTACTGAAGGAGTCCCCATTTGGGGATACTGAAGTATAGATACACTAGAGAGGCGGCTGACTTTGTGTGCTGCTGCTTAGGTGCCTGACTCTGGGGTGTGGGTTCGAATCCCGGATGGTACTCAACCCAAACAAGTAATAGAACCTGTACTTTACTAAGAAAGTGTAATCCCAAATATAACATATCTTACATTTGACCAGTTTCTAAATGGCATTGTGAATTCATTGCTTTCGGCCGTGGGAGCCGTGTCAATTTACACTTATCAGAGGGGTACACAAAGTCCGCAGTCTAGACTACTAGTTGTCCGACTTCCATTTTGTGGAAGCCGCGGGGGCTTAGCGGGCGCGACTCAACCCAACAAAAGTAATAGAATCTGTACTTTACTAAGAAAGTGTAATCCCAAATATAACATGTCTTACATAATAACCTCAGTGCAAAAAGGCTCTCAATGATGAATCCAGTAGATAAGGTTGTCATCTGAAGATAGCCACCTGTTACTCAGTGCCGTGGCTGTGTTCTACCAGATATGTCGTGTCTGGTGCTGCTGTGTCTGCTGCCCCTCGCTTTGGGGCAGAATATCGTCCAGAATGGAAACATGGAAACAATGGATCATTGGAACTGTTGGAACATACATTGTGAGCTGACCACTGATCATCATAGTGGACAGCATGGAATCAAGGCCACGGGCAGGTAAGTAATGTAAGTAATGTGGAAATTTCCGTGGAACGAAAGAGAACACTCTCAACTCAGTAGAGACAATGCTTTTCAAGGCTAGATTGCTGATAACAGTTAACAATATTTGAACCTTTATTTAATGTCTAGATATGTTTTATACAGCTACAGAGTATTATTTTGTAAATATTTTTAAAAAAACGGTACCCATAATGATCCTGAACATTTTTATGGGAATGATATAAGAAAGAATATTTCCACAGTAAGATTCAAAAGGTATAACCATACCACAAAATATTTCTTCAAAACATATGTGCATTTCAGAAGCCATTATTAGGAAGGGCCCTCAAGAAACTTCGACGTTATTTTGAAATAAATTTGGGCATCTAAGCATTATGAAAAAGTATTTCTTTTGAATGCCATATATTTCAGAAACCATTATTACGAAGGGCCCTCGCAGACCCTCAATGGCCTCAAGGCTAATGGACGGTACAAGGTCGAAGGATGGATAAAACTGCTGAACGACCAAGCCGGACATCTGGGACAAAATGTGGAGCTAGAAGTGTCCGTTGACCTTAACAGTAGGTTCTGTAGCTCACTCTTCATTTTTCCGTTACGCACGATACGAGGGGTTCATTGGCATTTTTATTCTGCATTTTGTTGATGATGAATTTACTTTTGTTCCAGTATTTGCTATCAGCAGTTGTACTGAAAATGTAGATTTGGCAGTGCCACTTTATTTATATACATAAGATGTGCAATATTCATATATGTGTGTATTATATTTAACGTTAACATTACCGTTTAGATGCATCAATGTGTTGCAGCTGGGAAGACAACATACATTGCTGTTGCCAGCCATCCTCTCGCCAGAACCTCTGACGGCTGGATTCACCTAACAGGAGACTTCAACGCACCTGCTGAGGGTAATGTGGAATTGGTTTAACCAAAGGAGTCCAGAGCAAACCAATGACATCCGACATAATCTGATTTGAACATATTCATTGACGCACGATATTTGAAAATACCAAAACAGTGAAAAGCAACCCCAAGACATCAACCGGTCCAGTTAGACTTAAATATGGTAGAAATGTATATCGACATTGGATGATTTGAGTGAGTGGTTAATAACAACACCGGTCATCTTAGTAACGGTTTTCGAATGACCTATCAAGCTCAATTTATCAGAGTTTGACATTTTTCATTCGTTGTGTGTTCATCTCAACAATCTAGATGAACGTCTCACACTTTAGCAGACTAGGGAATCCAGTATACAGAGAGAGATGAACATCAACATAGCAGATCTAGATGAAACATATTTTGTTGTTATATAACCCCTTGTAAAAGAAATTTCGCTTTTCGTGGATTATTTTAGGTTCAAATATCAAATAAGGATGCACAGGTATCGCGAGACGTGTATAGTTGTATGGTATTGTCATTCTATTTTCCTTTCTTAACTTTAGGTATTAAATCGTCCACTGTGTATTACCAAGGCCCATCACCTAGTGTAAACTTTGTGGTCGACTCCGTGTCTGTGACGCCTCTGGTAGCCAACACCCACTGGCGTGCAGAATCCGATGCCACTATAGAGAGGATGAGGAAAAGTGACATGAACTTTCAGTAGGTTATGTCAGCCTTCCCTGAATTACAGAAGTCAATTTGTTTTAGTTTCTTCAGTGTAGTGTCACAGATGACACACCCCTATGTGTCTTATGTCTACGTGACATAAATTAGCCCGTGTGTCCACTTTCTGATCTTCCCGCTAAAGCAACAAATGAGTCAAGCATTCAGTTTCCCAAGATTCTGTAACATAATGAAGATGTGACGTTAAATGTTAACTAGAAGTTCTCTAAAATCAAACTTGTCTGGATATGTCATTTCAACTGGTGAATGGAAATTTAAACATTAAAACTTGAAAATAACCTCAGCGAGCTGTTCTTAAAGAGATTCGTGATAATAAATAAATCATAAAAATAACAGCTTACTGAGTATCTAATAAAAATTAGAAAGTATAACTTATGAGAATCTTACGTAACATATGTTATATTTGGGATTACACTTTCTTAGTAAAGTACAGATTCTAGTACTTTTGTTGGGTTGAGTCCCATCCGGGATTCGAACCCACAGTCTCAAAGTCAGGCTCAACAAAAGTACTAGAATCTGTGCTTTACTAAGAAAGTGTAATCCCAAATATAACATGACCACTTTCTAAATGGCACTGTGTAATCATATGAGAATCTTTCTAACAATCCTTGGCTTGACAACCAGTATGGATGACACTTAGCCACATACTTCACTTTGACACATATATAAATGGTACCTATGACGCTTGTTCATGATACATTTCAGTGTCACCACATCTGGAGGTATTTCCGACAATCAAGTTGAAATTGACGTGAGTGCTGATTATTATTTCTCAAAGTAATTCATCAAATGTTTGGACACAATGTATTTACACCCACTCCAACATTTCTTGTTCCAGGTCATTCAAACAAATAAATCGTTTCCATTCGGAACCGCCGTGGCTTGTGACGAGTATCTCAATGGCGACCAGAGATACATAGCTTTCATCAACAAACACTTCAACTGGGCCGTCACCGAGAATGCTCTCAAGTGGGATTTAATGGAACGCCAGAAGGTAGTTCGTGTAGTCTACGGACACTCCCTGTTGTTATATCACATTGAAAGACAGATAAGGCACCTATGTCAGCCGGGGTCTTAGTTGTAGACCTGACTATCAAACTCTAAGTCTGTAGGCACCATGTCTGTCGGTATGTTTCAAAGGGCAGTGTGGATGTCCGTCAAACAGTGTCCTTTGAGTTAACAAATAAAATAGCATTTTTTATTATATGAACTGGTCACTAAAAGTCAGTGGTTACCCCCTGCATTAACGGGGTGGTCGTTCGATTCTCCACGTTGCTGGATTAAATAATGCTAACGATTGCTGGATAAAAATGCACTACTCATACCACTGGCAATCATCCAGTTTAGACTTTTATAATATTAACATATAACATCTTGACATTGTCAATCGTTTCAAAAACAACAGTCCTACAGTGCACGGGTCGTGTTCCTCAAAACGAACTTAGTGCTATGTAAAAATAAGGAAGTTAGCGCCATAATCGCTATGTTGAACGGGGCCAGGAATCCCATTTCCTACACTATTGCAGTACTGAAGATATAATAATACAAAGAATCCTTGTTCTATAACAGGGCAACATCAACTACGACCTGCCCCTCAACGCCATCAAGAAGATGAGATCCAATGGGTGAGACAGTCTTTATGGCAGGTCCTTTGTTGTTGGTTTCCATACTGACATTGATTTTATCCTTACAGTATTAAAGAGTTTAGAAAGTTATTTGATCCAAGATGAATTTGATATATAGGCTTTATTATAGCCAAGCTGGAAAAGTGTGTACTTACAAGCACTAATTAAAAAAAGAATTCGGACATGGTTATCTTCACTTTGTGGCCAACGACCTTGACCTAAAAAACTCATTGACATGCTAAATTATCATACATAAATACGTATATTCTGAGGAGGTTTGATCATTTCTCCTGCGTTAGTACTCACCTCACTAATAAGAAATGTATGAACTTCCTAATGTAGAAGCGATAAGGTTCCAAGGCCACTATACTTATCTGTATAAACCTTTGCGAACTGAACTGCCTCGTTATGTATCAGTCTGATGTGTATATCATAACAACAAAGAATTACAAATCACAAGCGTAATCTTACTTTATAATCTGTTCCTTGAATCTGCAAATAACTAAAGATATCACTCCAGTGACAAGGCTGCTGGGAAGACAGTGTGAGTGAGTTAGTTTGGTTTTACGCCGTTTTTAGCAATATTCCAGCAATATCACGGCGGGGGACATCAGAAATGAGCTTCACACATTGTACCTATATGTGTTGAATCGAACCCAGGCCTTCGGCGTGACTAGCGAACGCTTTAACCACTAGGCTACCCCACCTCCCCATCTCTGCTGGGAGAACTACATTTACCTTACAATGACATGAAGATGAAAAGTCAGGCAGCTGTATCTAATCACTGCCTTCAGTATTCGTTTTAACATCACAACTGCGAATGAAACTGTTTAACGCCTTTGAAAGTCTTTGTCTTCAACCACCTGCTGGGTAACCTCAGACAGGGATTTTATTCGACGATCTACAATTGTGTGAAGCAGGTGTGGCCCAAACTTTAGTCATGTGGTGCGCGTTTGACATTTGACCTGAACAAAATTAGACATCGTAAAACTTCATATTCATTGTTGAGGTAAAATGGTACCTCTTAACAGAAACGGTAATCATATACACTGTTGTGTTTTTCCACACAGAATCAAGGTGCGAGCTCACAACATTGTCTGGTCTGTCGATCAGTATGTCCCACAATGGGTTCGCCCACTGCGCGGTCAGGCACTGAAGGACACAGTAAAACACAGAATACAAGACATTGTTGGACGAACCAAGAACCTGTAAGTTCTGACATATCAAGTCTTTGCCCAATGGTACCAAAGCATTTTCAGATTATAACATAATGATGAGTTCATGAATAAAATAAATTTTAGTTATGATGTTAGATGAAAAAAGGGAAAATTGAATGAAGACAAGCGACTAAGTCCTTTCCACATCCATGAAGTATATGCTACAAGCAGAGACGGTAGAACCATTTATTATGACCAGGTTTATGATTCACCATCAAATAGTGATGATACTATGTATACTGGAGAGGACTTCTGATCGTTTGCGTCATTTCTTGTCTAAATAAGTCATCTCTCCTCTCGTAGGGTGTTTCGTGGATGGTTGTGGTCACTCGTTATGCATTGATCTAGATATGAAACAGTTGAAGCGGCCTCATTGGGGCGGTGGCCTTTTCCTAAACGAGTCCTAAACTATACATAAACTTTGCGCAGATTCACATTTAAGAAGTCACTTCTTAAATATTTTGATTTTGGCCCTATATATGATATACCCTCACAGCGTGGAACACTGGGACGTTGACAACGAGAACCTCCACGGCTTCTGGTTCCAGAACACTCTCAACGACAGAGACTACAACCTAGAAATATTCCGTATCGCTCATCAAGCTGGTCCCAATGTTAAAATGTTCCTCAATGACTACAGTGTTGTGGCATCGGGCGGGATGACTGGGGTAAGACTTGAGGCAGTCTGATGACACATACTTGCACATATTGTTTACATATCTTGTTACTTTAGGCTGGTTATTAACGTATGCGTTAACAGAGTGTTAGGGCGGGAAAATAGTTTAAACCTGTACTACATTTTATCAAATTAACATAAACCTTGTGTAAAGTTTTCTTCCTTTTTGTTCTCTTACAGTTTTCAACTATAAGCATTTGAATTACATTTGTTAACCCTTGATAGACCAAACTATGACTTAATGAATATGAAAGGGCGTAAGTAAACTTTATTAATTTGTTTCGTTACAATGTACAACCTCCTATAACCCTTTGTTGTTATAAATTCCTTTCACTCACACACTTTTGTTGATTTTCCTCTTAATCCTTATTAGATATATATATAAGTCTGGTCTATGCTGTCTCACTTCTCGTTTGTGTGACAAAAGTTATATATACCGAAACGTCACACCAACAATTGAAGAAAGAGGTTTTCATCCATAACTATCTTGTGTTTAAAAGGCCATAAATAATGTTTCATATTTCTGTTCAGGCATACCTTGATCAGGCCATCAGATTCAAGAACGCAAACGTTGGCCTCTACGGAGTCGGTGTCCAGTGTCACTTTGGAGAAAACGTTGAACCTGACCCAACGCTGATCAAGGTAACTCAATCTATGAATTGTATGGTAATATATCAAATGACGACATTCCTCATTCTGATAAGACAAATGATTATAAATACTCTTGTAAGTTAAATAAAAATGCTCGTATGTATGTGATGCTGATACCAATGTGGATGCGACCATGATGATGATGATGATGATGATGATGATTTTACTTCACCGTTTCCTCAATTGTTTATGTCGGTACCACCAGCAACATCTAGATACCATAGCACAAGCTGGAGTTCCTATCTGGGTCACTGAACTCGATGTCATAAATGCTGATGAACACAAACGAGCAGATTGGTACGAGACAGCTCTGAGGGCGTTCTATGGCCACCCAGCTGTTGAAGGAATCATGTTATGGGGATTCTGGAGTAAGCGACACTGGAGAGGAACCAGCCACACTGGTATCCGGAGATTCGTTTAGGGTAGGCACGAAAAACAGCTACTTATTAAAATATAATACTTCGCGTAATTTAATGTTAAACCATTAAATAAATACCTATATAGAGAGTACAAATAAGCCTACTTTGAGTGTAATCCATTTGTTTGTGTTTTCACAAACGTACTAGCATTTTGTAATTAAATTGTATGTGTAGAATACCTTTTCTTTAAAACAACAACTACCAGCACTTAAATTTCAGGAATGGGTGATGTACAAGCACTACTAATAAGCATTAAGGATTTGATCACATAGCTGTATTGGAGCTCAGTGTAGTCATAAGTTACACTGACTCGAATATATACTAGCCACATAAAGAAACTGTGCATTGTCAAAATATTATCCCAGTTGATAAGTACGATAACAATGTCAAAGGTACATATAAACTTTAATGGAGGGATCATGAGACCATAACAAGTCGGGAGAATTTCAATTGAAAAGTCAATCACAATGACGTCACGAGTCCACAAGCGGGACAGGGGTCAAACGACCATGTCACAAGCTCAATAACGGGTATGTCCACCATCGGCATTGAGAACAGCAGTGCATCGACGACGCATAGAGCCTCTCAAACGTGCAAGGAAGGCTTGTGGGATGTCACGCCAGATTCTCTCAAGTTCTGTTGCAAGGTCAAGGACGTTATCTGGCGGATGAGGAAGACGGCGTAGACGTCGATCCATCTCGTCCCAAACATGCTCTATCGGGGAGAGATCCGGTGAACTTGCAGGCCAAGGCAGTAAGTCAACGTTGTGGTGTTGCAAGAAATCCATATGAGGGCGGGCATTGTCCTGTTGGAATGTTAACCCAGGGCCATGACGTTGCACAAAAGGAATTGCCACAGGTCGAAGAATCTGATCCCTGTAGCCCACACCAGTTAAGTTGCCCTGAACAATCACCAAAGGAGTTCTTTGGCGTGCTGTTATTCCACCCCAAATCATCACGGAACCACCACCAAAGCGATTCCTCTCCAAGACACAGGCCTGTGCACAACGTTCTCCCACGCTTCTGTAGGCACGTTGACGTCCATCACTATGGGAAATGTTAAACCTGGACTCATCTGTAAAAACAACATTTCTCCACCAAAACAAAGGTCTGCGGACATGATTTCGGCACCACATTCGGCGAGCTTGTCGATGACGTTGTGTC